AGGCTCCGGGCGCCGGGGCCGACCCCACGGGCGCTGCGGGGCCGCCTCGAAAAGTGTCCGCTGGTGTCCGAAAGTGTCTGCCGGGCACTTCCGGCCACAGACCCCAGACCCTCCAGGAAAAGGGGAAGGAAGAGGAAGGGAGGAGGAAGAGGACGCGTTCCTCTAGGTCTCGCTAGCAGCCACAGCCCGGACCTGCTCGGCGATCCTCCTGGCTCCGCCGCCCCACAGGCGGCTGCGGGGTGCCCCCCCCCCTCCACTGTCCCGGCAGGCCCGGAGCATCCTTCCGGGAGCGCCGAGCGCCGCCCGGACCGCAGGGAGGGGCGAGGGGAGGGGAGGGGCGGGGCCAGGCCGGGATTGACAGCCCCTGCCCAGGGACCCTCTGCTGGGAGGGGAATCCGGGCATCTCGGAACAGACCCCCCCACTCTCCACCCCCCCCCACCCCCGGGAGGGAGGAAGGCCCCGGCAGTCGCAGGGCCTGACATCTCTGCGTAGCCAGCGGTGGGAAGGTAAACTGAGGCTAGAGTACAGAAAATCACTTAGGCTTCCCAACTCCGTTTTGAATTCCTGTTCTGTTCCTCTGGGAAAGATGCCTATTTGATGTTAAAAAGTGGTTTCCGAGTGAGATTGTCCATAAAAGGGGAGGGGGGAGAGAAATGCACTCATGACTGGATTTCTGAGATAAACGCTAGCCACTCTGTTACAGCACAGTAATAGTAACAAAGTTATTTTTTCCTGTAAAAAATGGTTTCCAAGGCGCCGTGAGATCCGCCCTCGAGAAAAATCTCCCAACCCAGGTCAGGTTCCTCCTGGTGCCCACCTGCAAGATAATCATCCAAAAGCTCATGCCTGTGTCCCCCAGGCTCAACGATGGCCTGGGGACACTGCTCAGACCTGTAGTCTGGGGCCTAGGTTGTAGGTTTTCTTGTTTTAGACTTGGCTATCCCTAGAAAAAAATAAAGAATTAAAACATGTTCTATATCAAGGATTTATTGACTCACCAAATATGACCCACATGATTTGACTTAAATTTACATTAAGTACTGGGAGATCAGTGCATCTGCAGAACATTTGCTGCACATTCAATATAACAGGGCATGCCCGCCTCAGGGAGTTAGGCTTGCACAGTTAAAGGTGCGTCGTACACAGGGTAAACACCGTGGAGTCCCTGATACAAGGCCTGCTATCTGGTCCTCTTAACACTCTTAAGTCTGATTTTATTTCCCTGATAACCTCTCACGAGCTCAGGGCTGGCTCCCTGGATCTCTGAAGGCAGGCATTGTTCAAGGAGACAAGATAACCTCCAGATAACTATGCCCAACGCAGTCTCTAGCACCACTACTGCCAGTTCCCTTCCAGGAAGCTTAAACCAAGTGCATCCTTTTCTTCTCTGCCCCACCTCCAAAACACTGTGTCACAAATAACACCTGAATCCACAGGTGGTGACCAGAGTTCAATGTTTCTTCAAAATGCTGTGGGGTGTGTGTGTATGTGTACGTGTGTGCTGGTACTGGGCCTTGTGCTGTCCTTTCATTTTGTTTTTTGCTCAAGGCTAGTGAGCCCCAGCTCCACTTCTAGCTTTTTGCTGGTTAATTGGAGATAGCAGTCACATGGATTGTCCTGCCCAGGCTAACTTTGAACTGAAACCATCATATCTCAGCCTCTTGAGTAGCTAGGATTTCAGGCACAAGTGACTAGAACCCAGCTTTCTTGTTTTTATTTTGTGATGATACTGGGATTTGAACTTAGCATCTGCTGATCTCACTTAGCTTTTTCCACTCAGGTCTGGTGCTCTACCATTCTAGCCACAGCTCCACTTCTAGCCTTTTGCTGGTTAATTAGGGGTAAATCTCATAGATTCGTCTGCCCAAGCTGGCTTCAAACCAGGATCCTCAGATCTCAGCCTCCTGAGTAGCTAAGATTATAGGTGTGAGCCATTGGCACCCTAATTTTGCTCATTTAATATATAAACCAAAGGAAATTTTTGGAGGAAGGGAGAACAGAGGCGTGGCTGCGTGTTTTCTTCTCCTGTCCTGTCCAGAAGGAACCATGCTAGCTGATCCTAAGGCTTCCCTTAGATATAATCTTGAACTTGAGATAAAAATCACTAGACTCCAGTACTGCCAGATGCACAGCTAGAGCTACTTCTTGGACTTGTTTTGCCTTCTCTTTGCCTTACCAGATCTTAAACTTCTCTGAGTTGGCATCAAGAAACTTGGGAGTTTGGCAGGCACTGTCCTTTGGGGAGGAGGCCCAGAAGGCTGAGAGGTGGAGCCTGAAAATCAACTGGGCTGAAATTGACCAGACAAATGGGGGTGTTGGCTTTTTTTAGGAAGCTGTTATGTAGGGCTTTGTGTGATTGATAAGAAAAGATATATACCGGTTCCTGGGCTTGAACTCCAGGCCTGGCACTGTCCCTGAGCTAATTTCACTCAAGGCGAGTGCTGCTCTATCCCTTGAGCCACAAGCCACTTCCACCTTTCTCTGGGTAGTTTATTGGAAATGGCAGTCCCAGGGACTTTCCTGCTTAGGCTGGTTTTGAACCATGGTCCTCAGCTCTCAGCCTCCTGAGAAGCTAGGATTACAGGCTTGAGCCCCCAGTGCCCAGCAGCAAACATGTATGAACAGTCCTTAGAGTAGCTTCCTCATTTGTCTCGTGTGTTACTTCCCTTACAGAGGGGTGAGTTTAGGTGAAGTTTGAGGGAAACTTGTATTATGAACAGCACGGACTATGGAAGCCTCCTTTCTTTTTTTCACTCTCTTTTAGTTACCAAGTTTACTTCGGTAACCCCATTTTCTAGCTTAAAAAAATACAACCAGGAAGTCATGTGACACAAGAATGACTCAGATTGTCCAGAGAGAGATGAAGCCCCAAATTAAGAGTCTGAAATCCAGACTCTCCCCCTATGGTGTATGCATACTCTTGATATAGTATCAAGGAAGTGTGATGGAAAACATTAGACTTCCTCTTAAAAGACATAAGAAAGACATTTGTAGGACTGGAAGCATGACTCAGGTGGTAGAACACCA